TGGGAGGGGGGGGGCGGAGAGGGGGGGGGGGGGAATCCAGCCCCTCCCCTGTCACGGCAGAGGGCTGTGCCAGGATCGAGAGGTGAGCGAACGCCGGTATGTGTTCGCTCACCTCCCGATCTACTGAGCCGACCTGTGACAGTCTCATTGTCACAGGTCAGCTAGAACTATGAGGTGAGTGAAAAGCACTCACCTCATAGTACTCCTTAAAGTGCTAGAAACAGCTATGGTCCTTGTTAGACAGTTCTCTAGTGTCTGTCCTACAACTGTCTTACTTAATTTTTTTATATATATACATATTCTAGATTTTTGAAATCTTGTGGGTGCGTGCTATGTTCAGATAATAAAAAGCAGGTAAAATACAGTTTTATATTTCTAATACTTAGGTGGAATATTTGTAGCATATAGTGTATCTGTAGCAAGAATAAATTCAATTTTACCAAAGTTTGCTCAATAGTAATTGAGCAACATGACACCTAATGGAGCTGTTGCACTAGACAGGACATTCATTACAACATTTCCAAGATTTCCTTGTTTCCTTCTAATTTGACTGTTTCTCCCCAGTGTGTTCCTTGCAAAGGAACAGTTTCACAATTTAAGCTGCTGAACAGTTTCAAGAGCCCTGCTTATCTACAGAGATGTGGTTATGTACTCTGAGGGTCTGGGAAACAGGAGTGCTAAGGTTAAATACTATTAAAGGCGTTCAAAAACCACATATCTGATGACTAACACAAAAGGTAAGCCTGAAACCTATATAAAAAATATAGAGGGAAGTGTGGCACATAACAAGCAGGAACTATGGGTCCTGGGAAATGGAACTCACAAAGCTATGGGTGACCAAAAAGAGAGGGAGGAGATACAGGGAACGGAGGAAAGCAGTGTACAAACTAGGCAACAAGATTCAATAAATAGCATGTTTACACCCACGAAACAAACAATAAGGAGGCAAACCAAAGATCCAGAAAAAGTTTACATCCTGAGAGATAGCTTATAAGACAAACTGATCAGAAGAAAAACAAAGCAGGTTCCATAGACTTGCATTAGACATGAGGGCACCAAAGGATATTTCACCAGTTGGAGCAAAGGGGGAGATGAGGAAAGTGCTGACCATCGGGGCAGGGATCAGGTACTAAAATCTGCATCACTGCAGTCCCCTAAACTGCCCTAAACGAAAACTTAACACTTGCAGTATAGGGTTGCCCATTATTTGTTTGCTGGGACATTGGCTTTAAAGCTTGCTGCCTTACCAGCCCAGCCTTGGGTTTGTTTTCAGGTGGTTGGTGTTTTGTTCAAAAATGTCTTTTATCCTGTTAAATTAAGGACTTTCATTACTGAGAACTTTCCCAACTAGGATACATTGTCGGTACTCTCTCCATTTCTGTAAGACTTTTATAATGGCAAGAATAATACAATCTTTATATACACCTTCTTTTAGTAGCAAACCTTTCAGTCTATGGCCGGTTCTCTTCACCTCATACTCTTGTCTGTGTAATTGCCCCTTCCCCCTGGCAAACACACACTAGCTCCCCATATGTGCCTGACCTGTCAGTCATAGTCAGTGTGCTGTCATTTGCCAATGTTATTATAATTAGCACTAAACAAAAAGTCAAATGGTGACCAAACACATTCACAACCTTTTTTATGTTCTGACCCATAATTTAAATTGGACCCTCCCCCTAAATGAAAAAAAACCCCAAAAAACCACAGGTCCATGCAGCTCAGCTTTCACATCTATCAAAGAGCCAATTCAAATTTTAATAGGATTTATTACTAAAACTCACATTTTATTTACATTCACTTCCTGGTCTTCTTAGGTGCTGGTAACATATCCCTGGACTCTCAGCTGCCACCTTGGGAAGCTACATCACCAGTACTATCCAGGGAGACCAATCAAATGAAAAAATACTGTGCAACAGTAAGAAGTCAGCTGCAGGCACTTGGTAATCAACTATGTAGTGAATAAACATATGATAAATACTGTATAAAAATATCTGCCGCGCTTATCACACTTAATAAGATAAATATGTAAAACCAATGTGTAAACAATCAATCAACTTCAAAATTTCATATATCATGTGCAATAAGAATTGAATATAAGTGCTCAAAGTGCAGTCCATGCACTTATAGTAAAGTGCTCAATAGTGCAAAGCAAAATCCTTCTGTATATAGCCCAAATAGAAGTGTTAGGGCCAGTTCACACCATATGCAGTTGTGATGCAGTCCGTTTATTTCAACTGCCGAAGTTAAAATACATCCCAATGCTTTCCTATGGGTGTTCTTGTGCCTAATTCACTCCATTGCAGTCCGTTCAACTGCAGTCAGAAAAAGTACTGCTTGTCCTATTTTACCTGCATCTAACTGCACTAAACGCATCAAAACGCAGTGCAAACGCACTAAAACGCAACGGACTGCATACAAAAAAAAATAACAGAATTGATTGTGGCATCATCCAGGGACATGCAGCGGCAAAAAACGCATAAAAATACATCAAAACGGATCGCAATTCCACTGTGCAGATGCACGCAGTTGTGATGCAGTTTCTGGTGCGAACTAACCCTTAAAGTGCTTGATAATGTGAAGAAACGTCTCTCAGTTAAATCTCTTCCTCCACTCCACACAGCTGTGTGCCCTTATGAAAAGCAGATCACCTTTCAAATTGACCTCAACACAGGTCACCAGTAGGGATGGTCTGCCGCTTCGATTCGAACAGGAGTTTGAGTTTCTGTTCGACCGCGCAACGTCCCATACTGCAAAGAGCCGTCCGAAGCTCTAATTGGTTAAAGACTTGCACCTGACCAGAGGTCAGGTGCAAGACTTTGCCCAATCAGGGCTCAGTATTCATTTGGAGCCATGATTGAGCAAAGTCATGATGACAAATACCCCTTACTCACAAGGGGGTGGGGGTTCCTTCTTAAAAAAATCCTACCAGACCTTAAGGGCCTGGTAGGGACTTTAAGGGGGAACCCCACATACTTTTTTTTTTACATGGGGTCCCTCCTGAATATTCCTACCAGACTTTAAGGGCCTGGTATGACTTTGAGGGGGGACCCCACACACTTTTTTTTTTACACAGGGTCCCTCCCAAATATTCCTACCAGACCTTGAGGGTCTTGTATGACTTTTAGGAGGAACCCTACGCTTTTTTAAAATTTGTTTTTATTTTTTTTAATGGTCCTTCCTAACATTCCTGGTATTGTTTGGGAGGAGGAACTGCACAGTATAAGTAAAAAAAAAAATAATTGTATAGAAG